CAGCGAGCAGGGGGCGAAGCCCCCTAGTAAAGATTAAAAGGCTAAAAGGAAAAAAGAGAAAAACGAAGAGAAATAATAAAATTTAAGTTTTATTTATTGTACATAAGCTTCAAGTATGTAGAACTCATAAAGTAAGTTGAAAATACAGAAAAAACGTGGAAAATAATATAGATTAATGAAAAGAGAAGAAGAAGAAAAATCACATTTTTAAAAAAATATTTATAAAAGAAAAATTTAAAAAAATCTATATTAAAAAGGAGGAAAACAGAAATGGAATCATCAGCTCACACGATTATATCCGCAAAAAGGAGTGCGTTCTAATATTGTAACAATATTAGAAAGCTTTTCTCACACTATTGTACTGATATACAAATACTGATATATCAATACGATAGTGTGAGGAGCACTAAAAATACTTGAAACAAAATAGATCACATTGAGTAAAAAATATATCATGCAAAAGACTGAAAATAAAATTTAAAGAAAAAAACATACCTGCCAACTTTTAATCCCTTCCATTATCATTTTTCCTAGTGGTATTAAAATGGAATTAAAACTTCAACTTTTAGCAAACAAATACGTTGTATTTGAGAAAACTTAAATTGACAATCATGATTGTAACGCATATTAATATATCTGCTTAATTTTTCTAAGAATAGTGGTGATTAAAATTATTAAAAAATTAAGTTTATAAAAGAAAAAAAGAGTATATATTTACTACCACTTTAAATATGAAAATAAAATCTTCAGGAAAATCCGGAAGAGTTGGCAGGTATGATAAAAGAACAAAACACAAAACGAAATCTATAGAACGAGTAGCGTTTTCAAATGAACTTACGTGTACTGGAATCTTTCAAGAATGATTTAAAATATTTTCGCAATAAACTTTCCAAACAACAAAGTATGAAAACAGAAGCGCAAGTGGAGTTAAGAGCGTAAATAGTGGAATTTTGTTTTATGGCGCGTTCCTATTGCAGTACTGAAGCGCGTTAAATTTGCTAGTTACCAAGGATTGCCTCGCAAATGGATAAGCACAAGGTTATAATGTTATACTCGATAGTTTAAAGAAGTTTATAATTAATAAAGTTTATGTATTTAATCATGCAATTTTAATAATTTTAAAAATTAGCATTTATTTAAAAAAAATTATCCCCATAGACAAAGCTAGCAATTAACCCCGGCTTTAGAGACATTCTTAAAGAGGAACAGTTAATGGGTTAGCCATTCTGAATTAATTTTCTTTCTCTCAACGATAATATTAGTAAAGATTTATTTAACTCCATCATAATTATTATATGTAAAAATTAATCTCTTAGCTATTATGTGCAAGAAACCATCGTCTAATTATTTACTCTTATTCAATTTCCCCCTTTTTTTAGAACAATTGTCCGAAAGTAGAATGTGCGAAAGCAGTAGTTGAACTTCAACAGAATCCTAAAGTGGTATACGAATCAAGAAAAGGTATAAATTAAGAACTTTTCAGCTGAGTTATTTACCCTAAGACAATTAATTCGGCTTCAATTCTGAACAGTTGTGTGCCCGATCTGGTACACGTTTATACCAAAAGCGAAAAGTTTGTTTTTGTTATTTAAAGTCGCTAGAAGTAGTTTTTGAAATTGTGGAGACCGCCATTTTTTAAATCTAAAATTGAAAAATGCTCCTGAATTTCAATTTCTCCCAGTCCATTCCATTTTAATTTATATTTTATAACCGTCGTTGAACAGCCGGGTTTACGACTACTAATGTTCAACTCCGTAGCCTTGTAATTTTGAACCCAATCCAGAAGACAAGGGCACTCCTGGATCGAGTATTGGAAGAAATTTGCCTTCGTGGAGGACTTTTTGAGGGAGCTAACCCGCATTTGCGTTACATGGAGAGGAAGACCACGAGAATCTCCCACGGATAGCCTGGCGGCAAGGGGACTCAGACCCATAATCCGTCTACCACTGAGGGTATTCCACGTCAGCACTGAGGTCGGTGAAAGCCGGATGCGGAATTCGTATCGACTGGGATTCGAACACGGTTCGCCTCATTGGAAGGCGAACGCTCTATAACCTGAGCCGTCGCGGCTCTCCATTCTATTTACTGTATTCTAGTAGTTCATTTAGTTTGTTGTATGATCGCTGTGCACATTAAATGCCGTAAATGTATAAAAATCTCGCAAATTTGGATAAATCATTAAATATTGATAAACGCATCTATTTCTGGACCTATTTGAATATAATTTTTGCATAAACATTAAAAAGAAAATTAAGGTATATAAATAATATAATGTATATAAATAAAAGCACTGTTTCAAATGCACTGAAACAGCTAGTTCATAATGGATAGCTCTCGTTGCGGCGTACGGTTTGTTAAGAGTAAACATTTTCATTCCCTTTGGTGTAGCGCACCCCTTAACAATCTTGACCATTTAATTCGTGGCATCATATTTATATATATTTGATAGGTGGCGTTTATGCATCATATTGTTCAATCAACATTGCTTCCAGGTATTTTACAAGTTTATTAAATTTTATGTCGATCGCTGCCTAATATATAGAAATACTTTATTGTCTGTTACTCTTGGAGTATTAAAGTTAGGTCAATTTAATCTCCGCTCGATAGTATTATTTTTTTTTTTAGCTTCATTAGTTTTTTTTCCAGGAGTTCAAAAAATGCCGAGAGTTTATATATGAATGTAATATTCCATGCGTTTCTTTTTTCATTGTTAGAAGCATGAACTGAATGGAATTATAGTACATTCTGAGCTTTATACTTATTTTTTTTAATTTCTCAACTTGTATTTTTATGTATTTTATATGTTACTTGTATTTTTTTTATGTAATTTATACAAACATTTACATTTGCATATAATTTAAATGTTTGTAATATTACGCTTTCTCCCAACTGTCAAGTTCATTAGCTCTATTATATCAATTATTTAACTTTTATTTGGTTTTCTGGCCGTAATATTACAGAGATACCAACTGCTCCACGTTTTGTGTGAGTTTTAATAAATTAGTAACGAATTTAAGAGTAAAACTTGTAGAATGAGGGATAATTTCACCAACTCTTCAAAATCCTCAGCACGACATAATTGCAACAAAGTTGTATTCTGTATGAGGCTTTGAATTTTTGATATGCTGTGGTGGAAAAATAAATTAAATGAAATTTACTAAACTTAAAAGAACTTGAAAATACTTTTTTACAAAGCGGAGTAAGTTGGCATCACTGATTATTATATTTCTAATGAAAATCAAAATGATCTTAATTTACGAATATTTTAAGCTTAGTAACTCAAAGATTATCCCTTTCATCTCTAGCCTCTTAAATAGTGGTCTATATCTAATAACACCTTTGTGAAAAAAGTGCTGTTACATATTTGACTATAACGAATGGATATTTTCATTCTGTTACTTACTATTACAAAAATAAAATAGAACAATAAGGTACAAAAATAAGTATTAATATACTTAATATGTTATGGTAGATAGAACTATCTAGTTTTTGCAGATTCGCGTTTGTTCAAATAAACATGTTATGGTAGATAGAACTATCCTGTTTTTGCAGATTCGTGTTTGTTCAAATAACTATGTTATGGTGGATGGAACTATCCTGTTTTTGCAGATTCGTGTTTGTTCAAATAACTATGTTATGGTGGATGGAACTATCCTGATTTTGCAGATTCGCGTTTGTTCAAATAAGTATGTTATGCTAGATAGAACTATCCTGTTTTTGCAGATTCGCGTTTGTTCAAATAAGTATGTTATATGCTAGATAGAACTATCCTGCTTTTGCAGATTCGTGCTTGTTTATATAAATATGTTATGTTAGATAGAACTATCTTGTTTTTGCAGATTCGTGTTTGTTCAAATAAATATGTTATGGTAGACAGAACTATCCCGTTTTAGCATATTCGTTTCTATTCCTATTGTTAAAATGTTACGGTAGATTTTGTTTTTGTAGAATGAATCCAAATAATCAAACACTTGTGCAAACTTTTTAACGAAAAAAAAGAACAGTCCTTTTAACTCGCTGGTGTTAAGCGAAAGGGCAAAATTGGGATGTTTCTCTTCAATACACTATTTCTCTATCTAATTATAGCAAGTAAAAACCCAGTTTTGCTATTCAGAGAAGACTGCAGGTAAAAATACGACTTTTTACGTGTGCAACAGTTAATAGTTTGAAAGAACGCTTAGCGCATAAACAAATGAGCGATTTTATCGATATCGTGGTTTCAGAAACTAATTACGTTAATTAATTAACATTTTCCTCCCGACAACGAAATATCTAATTATATATGATTTTTTTGTGTATTTTACAGACTTCGACGAGTATACAAGTCTGCTTGACACTTCAGCAGGATATATTCCAGGTGTAACTCGCGGGGATAGTGATCAAGAGAAATTGAACCTCAGTCTTCACAAAAAATTAAATTTATCCCACAGTTACCACGGAAAAGAGGATCCCAATCGATTGTCTGTGTCACCTCCCACGCCTTATTATGATTATCCAAGGTTCAATGCATCTTCTGAATCTTCCATGGAAGAGGAAAAGAAAAAACTAAAACTTTCCAAGAGTACTTGTTAGTTTTAGTGGGTAATGTTTCGATTTTTTTTTACTGAGAATTAATATGTGAAAAGTTCTTAACGATTTTAATAATGTAATAATTGCAAATAAAATAAATATAAAAATGTATGTGCCGTTGGGTTTATTTTATTTTTTTTCGTGAAATAGTTTTGATAGTGGGTTCTGGTAACGAGTGAGCGCGGTCATTTGTTGACCAAAGGCTCTGATCAATCCGCAATCCGAGAACGTGGGGTTCTTCTTGATGTTCACTAGGCCTTGTCGATTATTTACTCAAGGTTCTTGTCTTGACCAGTTTGGTGCTTCTTACTCACCTAATTTTTTATTTTTATTTTTTTTGAGGTCCCCATTCCGCATCCAGGAAGCTAAGCGTGCTTTTTTATTCTGCAAAGAAGCAAAGCATTAATATCGAAAAATTACGTTATTAACACTTTGACATACGAAGACGTCTGGCAGACGTCATTTGTTTACGTCAAAACAATAATTGACGTGTCTCAGACGTCTTCAACATTCCGTTGCGAGTTGTTGTTTACAGTGCAATCAAAGACTATTTCTATATCAAGAAATAATATGTCAAGGGGTTAAGGTGAACTTACATGACTTTCTAAATTTGAAGTAAGAGGTAAAGCGAGAAATTATTCATTACACATAATTTCAGAAATTTGCAACCACACAGTAAAAAAAATAGTTCAACATTTAGAGTAAAAATATATAAAGAAAAGTATGAGTGGTGAAGAAGCAATCAGTCATAGATAGGATTCAAATCCGATGAACTTTTTTAAAAACTTAATGCACTTACCCATGTAGCGTGCTAAATTAAAATGAGACGGTTTAAGAATCAGATAGAATATGTAAGGATACTACAGGTCGGGACGTCATATTACAGTGAAGGAAAGCAACCGTGTTCCTCTATCGGTATTAAGCTACTTATTTCCTTATAATTAACTGGGAATGTTGAATAATGCTGTAAAGACTCCATGTTACAGTAACACAAGCGTCTCAAGTTTTCTACAATTATTTCGGTGCATTTTTCTAATTGTTTTTTCTCTCCTATCTCTTTTTCACGATATAACAATGTATTTATACCAAAAAATCCATAAATGATTGCATAAACACTATTTACATGGGGTTAGAACATCGTCGAATTATTTCAAACAATACACAACTGCTTAGTGCTCTTATTCTTTACGCTTAGCTATAAAATGTATATCTGAAAACTACACTCTATAACAAAAAAATCGACCCACCAAGAACGCACTAAGACGCGCAAAATCGACGCTCGATCAGGCTGGAATGATGCCGAGGGGACGTATAGTTTTTAGCGAAGAATCCCGCTTCCAACTGTGTCCTGACGATCATCGAGGACGTGTTTGGAGATGCACAGGGCAGAGGGGGGATCCTGCCTTCACTATTGCACGCCACACCGGCCCTAAACAAGGCATTATGGTCTGGGGTGCAATTTCCTTTGA